CACAGAGAAGAAGTTTAACCCTCCTGAATATTCAGTAGCAGTAGCATGATAGGGGAGTGCCTCAGAATCAGTTTGGTTAGGTGTGCGGACTCTAATCTGGGAGAACCGGGTTTGATTCCCCACTCCTCCACATGCAGCTGCTGGTGTGACCTTGGGTCAGTCACACGTTCCCTCAGAGCTGTTCTCCCAAGGGCAGTTCTTGGGAGAGCTCTCTCAGCCCCACCTACCTCACAGGGTGTCTGTTGTGGGGAGAGGAAGAGAAAGGGATTATAAACTTCACTACCAGTACAAGACTCCTTCTGGTAGTGAAGGCTGGGGTATAAATCCAATCTCTTCTCTCTTCTTAAGCAAAAGCACAAATCTTATTTATGAAAAAAATACACCTGGTCACATTTTCATCTTAACGTTCAATTAAACAATCACACAAAGAAATACATTTTCTGTCAACCTAGAAAGAACTTAGCATGAGAGGACAAAAAGACTATGTGTTTCATGCTAAATTATTGGGGGGGGGGACACACAGGAGAATGCAAGGGCAAGAACACAGCTTCTGTGGCGTCAGCAGGAGAGTGAAGATTTTGCTGTAGCCGTACATTTAGGGATCCTAGCCAGGGAGCTCCACGGCTGTGAACAAGACAGCTCTGACAATAAAGTGCCACAGGGGCCCGGGTTCAATCCCTGGGTTAAAAGAACCAGGCAGTAGGGTGATGCGAAAGACTGTGGCCCTGGAGAGCTGCTGCCAGTCTGAGTAGACAACACTGACCTTGATGGACCAATGGTCTGATTCAGTATAAGACAGCTTCATGTGTTCATGTGTGTCCACAATGACGGATCAACTGAGAAAGGTCAAGGGGTGAGCAAGTTAGGCAACTATGTGAGTTCAGAAAAAGGGCATTTTGATTCTGTTCTTCTCACTATTGGGTAACTGCATAGTTTCAGACACATACCTTAGCTTTAAGATAAAAGCAAATAAAAGCCAAAAGCACTCATAAAAGCAGAAAGCCAGCAGTAGTGTGGGCTACTGTACAGTTGTGTCTATGCATGTATGAATTTATCTGCCTGTTGGGCAGAAGTTATATGCAGAGGTCATTTCGGGGGGGATCGCGGGGGATCGCAGTTCCCCCGGGTGAGGTACGGGGGGGCAGGGCACATGACGAAGCCCCGCCCCCTGCTTCCGGCCGCCCCGCTTCTGGCCCTCATTCAGCCAGGAGGAGGCAGGAGAAGAGGGAGGGTAAGTTGCTTCCTCCCTGCCTCTCCCCACCCCTGCCTGCCTGGGGCCAGGGAGGGCCTTCGCGGGGCTTCCTTGCACTCCTGCCGGCCTTGCAGGTCCACCGCCGGGCCCCTCATGGGGCTCGGCAGTGGAGCTGCAAGGCCGGCGGCGGCTGGGACCGTTGGGGGTGGGATGTGTGGCCTTATGACGCACTTCCAATGATGTCAGGGGGTGTGGCCTTATGACACACTTCCGGTGATGTCAGGGGGTGTGGCATATGCTAATGAGTTATGCTAATGAGTTCCCCTAGCTCTTTTTCTTCGAAATGACCCCTGGTTATATGTATGTACTGGAAACTAAGAGAGGTGGGTCTGAGATGGTGTTCTGACCACAAGTGACTTAATCTGAGTGGGGCAAAGCCTTCTTAAGTCAAGTGCCACCTAGAGAGCCCGTTTGCGGGGAGGGCGGGGTAAAAATGAAATGAAATAAATAAATAAATAAAAATAGGCAGTGCTGGGGAGTAACTGATGGATGGTCATGATACATGTTGGCACCGATGATGCTGGGAAGACAGTTGTGCAGTTCTACGTGAGGGGAATTTAGGTTACTAGGCAGGAGACGGCACTTTAATGGTTGTTTGTGAAGTTGTGTTTTGTTGTTCCATGTGCAGGAGCAGCCAAACAGAGAGATTAGAGGTCTCAATCAGATGGCTTTGCTTGAATAAAGGGTTTAAGATTTGTTAGGCACTGTGGAACTGTTTGGGACTAGGCAGCCAGTACAAGACAAAGGGGTTGCACTTGAACCAAAAGGAAGCAGAGAACACCTAGTATCAAAAAGGGTTGCAGAGCAGCTTTTAACACTAGTTCAATAGTATCAATAAAGTAGTTGCAGAACAACAACAACAAAAAACACTAGTTCTTGGATAAGCTGAGTAGCTGACCTTGTTGAAGAGCATTCAAGCTTGGGATTGTTTTTCCCTAAGGGATGAGGAGTACTGGTCCAGGTGATCTAGAGGAGGACTGGTTAGAACTTGACAGTGAGCATGCCCCAGGCAATGACACCAAGTTAAGGATACTAAAAAGCCACATGGGAAAAATGTGTAAACAGAGGGTGTTTGGAGAAGGAAACGAAATAATAGGTATTGCAAATGCTAGAAACCTCTATGATAATACAGGAAAGCCGCAGTGCTTTTAGCTAAAGGAGGACAAGGATAGGGTAGGTATTGCAGAAACATGATGGGGTTGGGTAAAATCAGTAACACTTCTATATTCCGTTCTACTATGTGTTACCAGTAAACATACAGGTTTAATTTAAGAAAACAAGGCACCTCCAGATGCTTAGATGATAGAAAGACAATTGTTGAGTCAGAGCCCATTGAGGTAGCTTATTAGAAGTTCTGTGATTTAAAACAAAAAAGATCAACAGGGAACCAGTTGCATCTGCAAGTTAAGAAGCTGGGGAGGGGAAAACATTTTGGTCCAAGATATCCTGAGGAGGAAAATATGGTCTATTTCTCATAAATGTGTGAAGACAGAAACAGCACTGAAATGCACTCCATTCCTGGGACTGTGTTGTAGACACATTTATCTTCAGAAACCCCTCGTTGTTTTGAATTGTTGGACTTGCTTCTGTTAGCCTCCAAGAATTTGGCGGCTATTTTGCTGTCATCTTTTTTGGAGTACAATTGTTTTAAAGTTAAAAATGCAAGAAGAAAAGGTCAAACATCATGAGAGATGAAAACCAGAGAAGGGGAAAAAAGTACAAGCTACAAAAACCCAGGACTTGTTCTATTGCATAGAACTCATTTGTAGCCATTGTTGGCATTTTACTGCACATGTTCCAGGTTCACATATACTCTGCTGAATCATACTGCCAATATTCCTAAATAAAAGCTGGGGGGGGGGGACAGCAGAAACTCGTTTGAATTCAGTAAACTGTACCACAGATTTATTCAGATAAAGAGGCATTTCATGTCACAGTAGCAACTTTAAATGTCTCTTTTAAAAAGCCAGTGAGGAAGAATGGAAAAAACCCAGAGCAAAGCAGATAGGGAGTTTGGAGCTTGATGAAGATAGCAGCAAGAACTGATGAAAGACACTGCTGTGTAGCTTGACAAGGATGATAAATTCAGCTACTGCACCTCACTAAGCTGAAGAAAGGAGGAGGAAGTGTTTGGGACAGGAAAGGACAATAGTGGAATGACCAAAGGCACTAGGAGGCAGTCCTTTGGCTGAACTGAACACATGCTTGGATATGAAGGGAGTGAAAAGCAGCCTGTAAACAACATCAAATGTACAAAATTAATAATAATCTATTAAAATAATTAAAATTAGGGTTATGACATATGACAGGCAACATCTATTTACATATAATGTGAGTGATGGAGGAACATGCACCAGAATGAGAATGCATTTTCAGTCTTGGCAAGTCCCTTAATTGACTCCAGCTGTAACGGGTGGGATGAGAGCTCTGTAAACAATAACTCCACAGAAGTATCAAGCCAGGTCAGACTTCTCAACATAGTGGCAAGGAAAAATGGTATCTGGAGTGAAATCATTCAACCTTCAAGCCTAACTTGCTAAAGAAAATTAAAATGTCAGGTTAATGTTCCTTGATGCACTAAATCCTCAGGTGCTTTGCAATTACCAGGGGAAGACAAGAAATATCTAAATATGGAACTTCAAGCAACAAAACAGAAAATCTGCATGCCTAAAGTTATGGGTCTACTCTCACATTCAAGGATCCAAAAAAGTAGTCAACTTTTCAGAATTACTTATTCATAAAGTCACTGGCAAATTGTGCCACTTTGGCTAAAATCCCACAGAGAACTAGGTGTGCTTAAGTACATTAATTTGTGTAGATTTAAGTGTGCCTACATCTGAGTTGGACTGTAACCTTTATGCTTATACAAGCACATAACTCTGTACTTCATTTCAACAACTACTAGTTGTCATGGCAAGCTGAAAACAGCAATGCCCTGATTCATGCAGCACATAGTACGCAAGGTGCTCATTATATATACAAACCTGCAAACTTTTAGAGTAAGACTCCAGGTTTCAAGACTCATTCTACTTCCTCTTGCTTTATATCCCATTGTGCTCTTATCACTCAACCCTCATTGATGGATCTCCGGAATACTCCACAAGTAATCCAGAAAGCCACAGCGGGTCTTTTGGCATGAGGGGATGCCTGATTACTGGCTCTGGGGCTCAGGTCTATAGATGCTGCTCCTCCAGTTACCTGCTCTTCCCTGGATATGGTAGCTGGCTCAGCCAAGTTGTATGGGCTTCTTTCAAAGCTGTTTCCTCCCCATTAAACTTCAAGGGCTGCACTACGTGTTTCCACATCTCAGTCTGTGCCAGACTCACTGGGGGGAGACATGACACCTCCATTTTTCCTTCAGTTCCTTTAGAGTCTCTGCTTGCCTTCTCAAAAAACACAACAGAACACCTCAGCAGTATGCACTTGGACGTTTATACTTTAATGATCCTGAATGTTTTCCCAATGGAAAATAAAATTAAAACAGCACTATTTCCTAAAAATGTGGGCAAAATACTTTAGGCAAATGTTTGCATGATGTTTGCAGTTGCAATCAGACAATGACAGTAACCAGCATCAAAAACTCATATGTTATTCTGTAAAAAAAACCCCAAAACCATACTGTTTCCTCTGTAGGAAACCCTTAGATACTATGACTCTTTGTAGATTTATTAAACATAACCTCTGAATCCTCTGCAAGTTTGATCTGTGTTCAGTTTAAGCACACCAGTGAAAAAGCATGAAGACTGACCTGCTCCATCGTCATCTTCTGCAGCTCCTTCTCCCAAGCTGCATGGTCATCATCCAGGTGGTAGGATGCAGGCGGGGTGAGTCCACGGAGAATCAGGGGGTCCCGGTCATGGCACAGGGCTGTCAAATGTCCAATATACAACTTCAACTTGCTGCGATTCTGATCAAGATCTAAAAGAGGCTGAATTACCTACAATAAGAAAAAGTGCATTAGTCATAGCCAGAAATGTAAGCAAATGGAACATCTCACAATGTACAACACAAAGCTGCAAGAGAGTTCAGTTAATCACCACCCTTAGGATCTAATCTGGGATGAACAGTGAACTGAGGAATGGATGAGAATCTGCTCAAAAGGAGTAGATACCCAGTGCTAGACTTGAAAGGGGAACATAACCAAACAGACACATTCTAACCACAAAATCAACAACAACACATTATTCACTGTACATTAGAATATTATCTAAAACTACTTTGGGGATTTGAAAAAGCCATTTTGGTAGAGGAAGAATGAAGAGTTAAGGTTCAGTTGATTTATGGACCATTAAACACTGATAAATATAAAAGGACAATCCCTTAAAAAGTACAAGTTTTGCATTGGCAATGGCTGTCAGTTGTAAAATTTCATCCTCCAAACTGTTCACATGCAGGCAAATCTGCAGCTGCACCTGCCGTTGTCAGCAGCCCCAAGGTGTCTTTCCAGCTGTACCCCCTCTAACTCTATTAACAAATGTGGAAGAGTGATAATCTCCCAATCAACAGAAACAGGTGCTGGTAGGACTTTCAGCAGTGTCCATGAACACACAACTGCTCTGGTTCCTTTGTTATGTTTCAAACACTCTTTGAATGGATTAACGGCTGTGCAACAGGAGGAGCTGAAAGCTACAGATGAGTGGTGTCAAAACGCTTTCCCAGTAAGACTGTAGAACCCTGTTTATAGTATGTTAGGATTAGCATATTAGCACTGTATAAAGACACAGCATAGAACAGAACCTATCTGTGAGGAAGCTTAGATTTAAAAAGGCCATGTCGTAGGCCAAAGGAAAGGACCAAAAGATGGGAGAGTTTTTGAGAACGCTTTGACAGGCTGAAACAAGGAAAGCAAAGAAATGTTACTGACACCATCGTTGTAGCTGACTGCACCCAAGACAGAGCAGAAACACTGACCAACCTATGAGATGTCACAAAACCCTTCACATAGCAGGCCTGCAGTAGTAGCTTACAATTTTAGCTAGTAAGTAGAAGGTACGCTACAAAGAATACAGTAAGTATTCTCTACGGAACAGATAATTTGTTAATCAACACCAGTTCTGTAAATTTTACTGCAAAGTGAAGCCACATTGTGACACACTTCCATTAAGTTTAGCTACTGTAATTTAATGTTCTAGTTTGGAATCTGTGTCAGCAGTTCTTAACCTATTAAAGCGCTAGAACTGGTGTTCAAAAACAACACATAATACAGTCTGGTCATGTTACTTTCCTTGAATATACAGCCAAAATTCGGAGGAATTAAAAACCCTTCTGTCCTAATACCTCTTATCATCCCTTCACAGCTCCAATTTAATCTTGCCTTCACTTTGTTTTGTATGCTGTTTTTCGCCTGTCCCATATCCTGGTTCTTCCCTTTTTGAGGTTTGAGCTCCACGAGACACAGAGTTTTATGACCCTCATTCATTGGGTGAGGAGAATCAGGAAAAATATTTGAGAATTCCTGCCCTAAACTTCATTCATTCATTTAAAATATCCTCTCTCTTCTTCACTTGAGGTGGCTTACAACTAAAATCTATCAATTCAATTTGGTAACTAACTGCAACATTATTTGCCATTACAAGTTAGACAGTAATGGACATCTCTGGCAGCGTTACTGTCTCAAAATCATAAGAACATAAGAGACGCCAGTGTTGGATCAGGCCAAAGGCCCATCTAGTCCAACACTCTGTCACACAGTGGCCAAAAATACCAGGTGCCACCAGGAGGTCCACCAGTGGGGCCAGGACATTAGAAGCCCTCCCACTGTTGGCCCCCCCAAGCACCAAGAAGATGGAGCATCACTTGCCCCAGAGCCCCTAAGCAATGCTTTGTCATCACTTCACTGAAATGCATGGCGTTTGTACAAGGCAGTATTTGGTGAGTTGTTTGTACATTTTTGTCTCTGCGTACCTGCTTGTCACCAGAGCTTTTCAGACATTACATCCTCTAGTTTCACCGTCAATATACAGATTTTAAATATTTTGTGAAGATAGCTGCAACATCTCTTTCACGCTACACTTTAATTCTTCCCACCTTTCCTTTTAACAGTTAAAATAGCTAAAAGCTAAAAGCACATCAAATTTATCATTTTTTTAGGTTGCCTCACATGCACTGAAGATTAACCATTCAGCTTAGCTGGATACCCAGAAATCATTTTGGATCACTTGTGTGTGAGTGATTTAGCACAATTGTCCTTTTTTTCCCCTTTGCAACCAAACACTTTTTTGAGGGGGTGAGGTATTCAAGGTTGCTGATTTTTTAAAAAAATTGTTGTAAACTTCATGAGTTGTACACCTCAAACAACATACCTACACTCCAGTCCATTTCTTCCACAGCATCACCATATAATCCGTGTTTGCTTTTTCCTTTAAAAGTCTGAGAGGCAAAAAGAGCTGTATGGACATGAAGGTAAGACAGGAAAAGAAGAAACGGTGCCTCACTGTTTCTGAAACAAAAAAGAAAAGAGAATATAACATGCAGTATTTCAGAATATTAGGACCAGATATAAGCTTCTTTGTAGGTGTGTTATATATTACTACTGCCATATTAAACTAAAGCTATTTCTAGGCATGTGTTACAGCAAATTAACATTAAACAAAGGGGCAGAGGCAATACAGAGATACTGTGGCTCAGTTCTTAGTATTCTGGCTCCTATTTACTCCTAATGCAGTTAATAAAGTGGTTGGCGTCTGGCACACATCCATACTCCACTGATGAAACCAGGATGTTATAACATTTCTGCCTGAGAAAGATTAGTGCACCTTGCTCTGCCTCTAATAAACACACATAGGGGTGGATGCAGACTACATTTTCTGCTAACAGGAGGCAAATTCCACCAATTTCTTCTTCCTGCTGCAGACTCTCGCTTTGCCTCTCATACTGTTTCTGAGGGTCCCTTGTCCCCCATGAACAGTATGTCAGGAGATCAGTGGGAAGATGAGTCATGAATGTCCTGTTCCACTGAGAAAAGTGTCTTGTGTGAGTGGAAAACTTAGTGTGGATCCAGGCCATATTAATTATATTTTGCACAAATGCTTTTGTTCTATGCATGTCATCTAGGCATGCTTATATATGTTACCTTAATTCTAGTGCCAGAAGTGATTGGGAATCTACAAATAATTACAAATCATCATCTACAAATAATTAATCAAAACGGAGAAGCTGAATTGAGAACCTACACCAAAAATTATAAGACAATAATCCCATTTCCCATATAGCATTACAAACCAGATTGACTGAAAACTGTACCAAAGGAAGAACTTGTATCTCTTGCAACATTATATAATGGGAACATGGGACTATAGCAATAAATACAGGTCTGGTGCAAGTGACTGCATCTATTACACATGGCTATTTTCAGGAAATAACATCTTCCAAAGTAATATGCCAACCCCAAAAAGAATTCTTACAATAAGAATGGCTATCTAATCAATGGTTTATACAATCACTTACTACTTTGCCTTTTACATCTATCAGGCACTGACTGACAGCTGGCTTTCAGGTTAAGAAAGATCTCACCTATTAATATCCTTTAGGTTAGAAAATCACAGGTGACTAGTTTACTCATACTAAATGACTTGGGAGGGGAAAACAATACAAAACATGATTGACTACCTCTTTCATGACCTTGAAAATGGAATGGCACATAAGCTTGTAAGAGGGAAATTTGACAATAACAGTTAAACTCCTGTTTTATTAACTGAAGCATTTCAGCAAACAGCTCCTTTGAAATTTGCTGCCATTCTCTTCTACACAGTTTACTGAGACAGACCTTCCTTTCTTAACATGCCTAACTTTTATTTCTTGAAAAGGACAATAAAGTCAGAAACCCAGAACTTGACTAAAGCAGGAATTTCCATGGCAATGAAATCTCAGAAATCCAACATCACTTTCTTTAACCCATGTTTTATTTGTCACTATATAGAATTGCTATGCACGATTCTTTTTTATGGTAGTCAAATATTTCTTTTATTTAAAGAAACCAGGACCTGATAAAGCTGTACCATTACAATGTACAAGGATGCTATCTTCTCCAGCACAATAGTTCAAAAGAATTTATTCTTCGGCGCTCGGCCTTCCTTATAGTCCAACTCTCGCAGCCATACATGACTACTGGGAATACCATTGCTTTGACCATGCGGACTTTTGTTGGCAGGGTGATGTCTCTACTTTTTATCATGCTGTTTAGGTTCGCCATCGCTTTCCTCCCAAGGAGCAGGCATCTTTTAATTTCATGGCTGCGGTGATCTGGGATCCCAGGAACATGAAGTCTGTCACTACTTCCACGACTTCCCCTTCTATTTGCCAAGGAGTGATGGGGCCGGATGCCATGATCTTAGTTTTTTTGATGTTGAGCTTCAAGCCCACTTTTGCGCTCTCCTCTTTTACCCTGAGCAAGAGGCTCTTTAGGTCCTCTTCACTTTCAGCCATTAGAGTGGTATCATCTGCATATCTGAGGTTGTTGATCTTTTCCCCAGCAATCTTAATTCCCGCTTGTGATTCATCCAGGCCAGCATTTCGCATGATGTACTCTGCATATATATTAAATAAGCAAGGCGACAATATACATCCTTGTCGTACTCCTTTTCCTATGCTGAACCAATCAGTTGTTCCATATCCGGTTCTAACTGTCGCTTCTTGGCCCTTATACAGGTTTCTCAAGAGACATGTGAGGTGGTCTGGTACTCCCATCTCTTTAAGGCCCTGCCATAGTTTGTTGTGATCCACACAGTCAAAAGCTTTAGCATAGTCAATGAAGCAGAAGTAGATATTTTTCTGGTACTCTCTTGCTTTCTCCATAATCCAGCGAATGTTGGCAATATGATCTCTCGTTCCTCTACCTCTTCGAAACCCAGCTTGTACTTCTGGTAGTTCTCTATCCACGTACTGTTGAAGCCTAGCTTGTAGGATCTTGAGCATGACCTTGCTAGCGTGTGATATGAG